TCTGGTCAGACAGTTAACCAGGCAATTTACCTAGAGGTGTTAAAAAGATTACGCAACAGTTTGAAGCGAACAAAAACCTGATTTGTGGCAGTCAGGAGACTGGTTTTTTCAACACGACAATGCTCCTGCTCACACAGCCCTTTCTGTACGGCAGTTTTTGACCGAAAACGATATGACCACTGTGTCCCATCCACCCTATTCACCCGACCTGTCTCCCTGCGACTTCATTTTATATTCTTTCTTCGTATACAAATTTTAATTGTAACCTCGACATTATAAATCAAAACGATTGCAACTTTCAACACCTATAGTATACGGATACTACTTCACACTCATCAGAAATATAAAAATTAAAAATTTTCGTCAATTTGTCTCTGAAATAGATGAACTATAACGGCCAACTCTTTATAACTACGACTTTTTTTCTTTCTAAGTGATAAAAAAACAACAAAAAATTCATTCTCCGACATTGATAAAAGATCGGTAGGATTAATTTATTTTTTGCTTAATATTTATATTATTAAGTTTATTTTTTTTCTCAAACACAATAACACCCGAGCAAATTGAAAACTTTTTACTTTTGTATAAAAAAGATCAAGTCTAAACCGTATGGAATAGACTTGAGACTTATAGAGAAAAAAAACCTCATGAATGTAACTTGTGTAAAAATTTTTTTTTTTGGTTTTTTAATATATAAACAACATGCATAAGTTTCACTAGCGAAAACGACTATAACTAGTCAAATTGTGTATGCAACTAACTTTTAGATTTTGAAGTAAAAATAAACCCGTTTGATAAGGGGTTAAAAGCCATACTACAAAATTCCTTATGAACGTAATTCGTGTAACAATACTTATATGAAAACATAATAAAAGTATAAATAATCAAAGATTCATAGCAGAAAAAAGCCATTTAAATATGATGTTGTATAAGATTCAATAAAAATTGTTTATCGAACACCAGATATCTTTTAAAATGGTATACAATATTTAAGAAATATCGTTAAGGAATGTCATCGCTATGTTGCTGGTAATGATCGATAAATCAAAGCTAACGATTTGGTACTACGACCCGTTTTCCTTTCTGATCGATAAAAACAACTAAATATATCATACTCCTANTCAATAAAAATTGTTTATCGAACACCAGATATCTTTTAAAATGGTATACAATATTTTAGAAATATCGTTAAGGAATGTCATCGCTATGTTGCTGGTAATGATCGATAAATCAGAGCTAAAACATTGGTGCTACGACCTGTTTTCCTTTCTGATCGATAAAAACAACTAAATAAATCATACTCCTACATTGAAAACATATTGGTAGGATGAATTTGTTTTTTTTTAATTATTCATAATATCAAGTTTTTTTTTGTCTCTCAAGTGCAATAACACCCGAGGAAATTGAAAACTTTTTACTNAGAGCTAAAACATTGGTGCTACGACCTGTTTTCCTTTCTGATCGATAAAAACAACTAAAAATATCGTCCTCCTACATTGAAAAAATATCGGTGGGACGAATTTGTTTTTTGTTAATTATTTATAATATCAAGTTTTTTTTTGTCTCTCAAATGCAATAACACCCGAGTAAATTGAAAACTTTTTACTTTTGTATTAAAAAGAACAAACCTAAACCGTAAAGAATAGACTTTAGACATATACAGAAAAAAAACCTCATGAATGTAACTTGTGTAAAATTTAAATTTTTTGGTTTTTTAATATATATCCAATAACCATAGTTTCACTAGCGAAAACGACTTTAAATAGTCAAATTGTGTATGCATCTAACTTTTAGATTTTGAAGTAAAAATAAACCCGTTTGATAAAGGGTTTAAGGGCATACTAAAAAATCCTTATGAACGTAATTCATGTAACAATACTTATATGAAAACATAATAAAAGTATAAATAATGAAAGATTCATAACAGAGAGAAGCCATTTAAATGTGATGTTGTATAAGACTCAATAAAAGTTATTTATCAAACACCAGATGTCATTAGAAATGGTATACAATATTTGAGAAATATCGTTAAGGAATGTCATCGCTATGTTGCTGGTAATGATCGATAAATCAGAGCTAAAACATTGGTGCTACGACCTGTTTTCCTTTCTGATCGATAAAAACAACTAAATATATCATACTCCTACATTGAAAAGATATTGGTAGGATGAATTTGTTTTTTTTTAATTATTCATAATATCAAGTTTTTTTTTGTCTCTCAAGTGCAATAACACCCGAGGAAATTGAAAACTTTTTACTTTTGTATTAAAAAGAACAAACCTAAACCGTAAAGAATAGACTTTAGACATATACAGAAAAAAAACCTCATGAATGTAACTTGTGTAAAATTTAAATTTTTTGGTTTTTTAATATATATCCAATAACCATAGTTTCACTAGCGAAAACGACTTTAAATAGTCAAATTGTGTATGCATCTAACTTTTAGATTTTGATGTAATAATAACCCGTTTGATAAGGGGTTAAAGGGCATACTAAAACCCTTATGAACGTAATTCATGTAACAATTCTTATATGAAAACATAATAAAAGTATAAATAATCAAAGATTCATAGCAGAAAAAAGCCATTTAAATATGATGTTGTATAAGATTCAATAAAAATTGTTTATCGAACACCAGATATCTTTTAAAATGGTATACAATATTTTAGAAATATCGTTAAGGAATGTCATCGCTATGTTGCTGGTAATGATCGATAAATCAGAGCTAAAACATTGGTGCTACGACCTGTTTTCCTTTCTGATCGATAAAAACAACTAAATATATCATACTCCTACATTGAAAACATATTGGTAGGATGAATTTGTTTTTTTTTAATTATTCATAATATCAAGTTTTTTTTTGTCTCTCAAGTGCAATAACACCCGAGGAAATTGAAAACTTTTTACTTTTGTATTAAAAAGTACAAGTCTAAACCGTAAAGAATAGACTTTAGACATATACAGAAAAAAAACCTCATGAATGTAACTTGTGTAAAATTTAAATTTTTTGGTTTTTTAATATATATCCAATAACCATAGTTTCACTAGCGAAAACGACTTTAAATAGTCAAATTGTGTATGCATCTAACTTTTAGATTTTGAAGTAAAAATAAACCCGTTTGATAAAGGGTTTAAGGGCATACTAAAAAATCCTTATGAACGTAATTCATGTAACAATACTTATATGAAAACATAATAAAAGTATAAATAATCAAAGATTCATAGCAGAAAGAAGCCATTTAAATATGATGTTGTATAAGATTCAATAAAAATTGTTTATCGAACACCAGATATCTTTTAAAATGGTATACAATATTTTAGAAATATCGTTAAGGAATGTCATCGCTATGTTGCTGGTAATGATCGATAAATCAGAGCTAAAACATTGGTGCTACGACCTGTTTTCCTTTCTGATCGATAAAAACAACTAAAAGTATCGTCCTCCTACATTGAAAAAATATCGGTAGGACGAATTTGTGTTTTGTTAATTATTTATAATATCAAGTTTTTTTTTGTCTCTCAAATGCAATAACACCCGAGTAAATTAAAAACTTTTTCCTTTAGTATTAAAAAGAACAATCCTAAACCGTAAAGAATAGACTTTAGACATATACAGAAAAAAAACCTCATGAATGTAACTTGTGTAAAATTTAAATTTTTTGGTTTTTTAATATATAAACAAGATGCATAAATGTCACTAGCGAAAACAACTATAACTAGTCAAATTGTGTATGCATCTAACTTTTGGACTTTTAAGAGATAGTAACACAGTTGATACGGGGTTTAGAGGCATACTAAAAAGACTTTATGACATCCTACCTTTGGATTCTAAAGAACTAACCAAAACTAATAGATGTGGCTTTTTGACATATATTGAAGAAAAGTCAGATGAATGTAACTAATTTTGTAATTAAAAAAAATTTTTTACAGAATATTATCCCTTAATAGGTATATTTTTTGATTGTATCTGATAATTGGAAAATATATAATTTTTTAATATTTGTACAATGTGCATAAATTTTACCTTCAAATACAATAATACCTGGTTAAATTTTTTCCTATGTTTGCATTCTGAAGAATCTATTAAAAATGTTAGGAACTATACATACAGGCATAGAAAAAAAACCTGATATGTTGGTATCAAAATTTACCCCGATGGAATGAGCCTCACAGTAAAATTTACAAAATTTATTTCTATCTATTTAACTTTTGATTATACCTGTTTTTAAGATAAGTTGTATTCATCATGTCTTTTATTTAAATGTACCTTTATGATGGATTTAAAAAGTTATAAGAAAATTTAATCAAAATCACCACTTGTTAATATAGTTTTTAATAGTTTATCAAATTAAGTTCTGTCAATTGAACACGAATACATTTTAAATAAACTTTAGGTTGTGTTTTATTTTAAAAAAAATCAAATTCAGACTGCAAAGTAATAAATGTTTTATTCAAAGCTTATGGATGTCTTGAATTCCAAAATTTCGCCTGCTTATAGAGCTTCTGATCTTTGATTTTATTTTCAATCTCAGTAGTTTATATTTTTTTATCTTGTTACAAATTACAAATTTCAATTAATATATGTTTTGAAGCAATTATCTATCATTTTTTGGTTTTTAAAGCATTTTATTCAGCATTTAAATTTATCAATCTGCTTTCTGCATTATAAATTACAAAATTTAACATTTTATTCTTGAAAATAAAAATTTATATTCATTTTCGTTTAACTTTGTTGTCCAATATAATTGTATGGTAGGGTACCACAGATATATTATAAAAAGTCTAATGTTTCCATTTATGTTCTATCAATAGTTTATATAAGATTTTTGACCTCTAAGAACATCGCAGTGTTTCCACAAGCGCCCTATTCGCAGGATATGTTACCCTGCGACTTCTTTTTGTTCCCTCAAACAATATTGGCCTGAAAGGAACGCATTTTGAGTCCATAACTGACATCCAGAACATCCTGACAAGGGTACTTCAGGACATTCCAGTCGAAGCCTTCCAGAAATGTTATGAGAGCTGGAAAAAACGTTGGAACCAGTGTATAGGGGTGGGAGGGGAGTACTTTGAAGGGGATCACATCGATGTATCTTAATATTTAAATATACNATTTATTGGTCAGACCTTGTATAATTGCCATTTAAATTTCTAACATAATCATTTGTAATAAATACACAATCAAATTGTTACTTTGAATATCACATTGCAAAAAATATTAACAAAAATAAGATAATGTATATAGTGACATAATGGTTTTGTCTATGTGTTTAACTTATTTGGTTATTTATTTTTTTTTTTTTTAAAGGGGTAGAGTAATTATTTTGATGAATTTTGATGAATCTTCTATAATCAATCATTGTTTAGTAATTATCCAATTATTAGAAGTATGACAATATAAGCATCATTCAAATTCAGAAACAAATTTTACCCATGCTGCTGCACATGTGCGAGTATAGTTTCATGTTTGATAAGTCATCCATTCAAAACGAATTCAATTGAATATAATTTTAAGAACTATATACTACAGATACAAAAAAAATGATAATAAATTTTAAAATTACCATAACGGCCCAGTTGTTATATATGGATTTCTCTGATCCAAAGTAATGATTCCCAATATGTCTTTGTACTGCTTCTCATCAACAACTGGTATTTTCGTAATTCGGATTGTGTTGCTGATTTCCTGTCACCATGTCTTCAGCATTGGCAGCTTTGACAGCAAATGTTGAATAGGCGCATGCTCCGTCCAAAAAATTGTCCATGATTTTATACCTGAGGCGCATATCTTGAGCTGCTCGATCCAGTTGTGCAACTATTAATGAATCAAAGGTTTGTGATAATCGAGTTTCCTTACTACAATGTGTTTCTTCATTGCCTCTGCAGCTTTTTAAAGTTGCTGCTTTTGCTGCATAAGTTGTACCTAACATATAAGCGGGCACCACTGGCTGATCATTAACATTGTTTATGTCATCGTTATCATCCAATAATAGAAGAGTTGGGGGCCAAAACAAGCGGACATGTAGCTCAGTGTGGAATACGGTGCTGAGAGGTGCAGTGCTTTGGTTACAATTGCCTATGTTTTTAATCCAGTGACAGTAGCGATCATCTTCCAAAATTTCTTTGTGATGAGTATAATCGTCTTTTGAAGTTTTATTTGACCCACTACCAACTCTCGTCCTCAGTGTGGAGGCTGTTCCTGTATTAGAAGCATTCGAGGTTTCGACACTTGATATTGCCTCAATAGAACTGCTGTTACTGCAGCAGATAACGGTAGCATCGTCATCGTCATTGTCACAATAATTTTCATAATTTCCATCGCCACAGCCATACTCTTCCACTTTGTCTTCGTAATTTCGTTCATATGCAAAGCCATTATCTTGGTCACAGGGTTTTTCTGGGCAAGCTTCTTGATTATAACCATAGACATATACATCCTCATAGTCATATTTGTTGTCATAACTATAATCATGATTGTCTTCATCATCGCTGTACTGAAGAACTAGTGCTCGAAAGTTACTGCGGAATCTGTCCAGTTGTAACACAAGTGGTCTCGCCGATGGCATTTCAGACTCATTTATGTCAAAGCTTTGTTGCACCCACTCGGAATATTGAACACACAAAGCATGAAGGGCATGTATACCATAATCAGAAGCTGCTAATGCCCCTAGTCCACCACTAATACCGCTACTAAGAGAAAACCACGGTGACGGTGACAGTGATAGCGGTGAAGTAAATAGTGATGATGGTCGATAGTTTTTTTCTTCTTTAATGACGTTATCATTTGCACTGGAAGTCATTGTGATACTACCACAGGTGTGGTCATTATACATATGTTCATATAGTACCGCTAATGCCGTTGCATCTGGTATGGTGGCGTTTGGTGGCAATTGTAGTAACGCATCCACGTTGTTTTCATCATCACCGATGATGTCACGCGTCGCTTCTCCAACCCCGGTTGATGTATACTTTTCTCGGCGGCCGAGAAACTCAGGTCGGAGCCGGGACTCAAATTCGACAGCCGTGGTGGTGTGTAGTTGGCGAAGTGAAGCCCAAGCGTCCTGTAGAGCCTGAATCTATACATAAAATATATATACTATAAAACAATAACTTTATGAATTATTTATAAAATATTTAATATTTACCCTATCAGAACATAAAGCCGACATCAACGCCCGATAACCAAAAACGTCACCCACAGCCTGTTTAACATCTGCTGCTGTCCGGATCCATTTGTCAAGTGCGGTAGCTCTATGCCGAGCTAGTTGGTCTAACCAGTGACGCCTTTCAGCAATCCATTCTCCTCTTTGTGGTAATGAATAATCAAAATCTAAGTCACAATCAGCTGGCAGTTCAAAGTCATCATCATCCTCGCTAACAGAATTTTTACCAGAAAAATACCACCCAGCTGCACCGGAACACCGGTAATAAAATTGCCGACGTCGATATTCATATTCATCTTCCAAATTCCACTCACACTCTACAGCTTGATTTTTGAGTCCACTGTTATCATTACCAATTAGTATCAAGCAAGGCGTCACAATCACTGTCATTGCGACCAAATACTGTAGGCAAGCAAACCTAAATAATGATGACACCACATACACCATAAAATGGAGTAGGCAGGCAGCCACCATAAATTTGTCTTAAATTAATACACAGTCAATGGTAATATTAATTATTATTTGATTATTGAAAAATCACTATTAATCGAGAATCTCATACTAGTATTTCAAAAGTTTATTTGATTGTTAAAATTGATGTGGTAAATTACAAGAAATATTATAAAATACTTTAAAAAAATTGGTAACCAATAACTCATATTGTCTAAAGACTACAACAATTGTATATTAAAGGTAATAAATTAATAATCAAAATCAACTGTGACATTCTTAAGAGTACGAGATACTCAATGATGGGATACATATAGATAATTTCTAACTGTTGAAATTACACCATAAGTAATATGAATAAGCAATTTAAGGGGCAATAAAAAACTAACACATAAATGCGTTAATTTTTTAATAATATTTAAACACTAAATTAATAAATCATTTAACATAAGTCAAATTCTAATATATATAAAGAAAATCTGTGCTGATGAATAGTTCTAATAATATGAGGATTAGTTAGAAATGTATTTTAAAGAACGAAAATTGAAATACAATAGTAAGTGATCTAAATATATAATATAAAACCAAAAAAATGTAAAAATATTAAAATATTTGTTATATAAAGGAATTGATATAAATTCACACCATTAAATGTTCAGAAAAAAAAATTACATGCAAAATTATAAGAAATTAATTACCTTTCTATAATATCTAATCGAGCCCTGCGTCCTGCTAATCCTGGTTGACTGAGAAGTTGTAGAGGGCATGCACTTATAATTGATTCTACCGGTTTCTCTTCTCCCACACCACATTTTGACTGATAGCGACGATATGGTAAAATGGTAGCACTACCATCAGCACGACACAGAGCTGCCGCCAGACGCCCTGTACCAGCTGATATTATTCCTCCATTGTTATCAGGATTACCAACGATTGTCAGATGTACAGCTCGCAAAGCATTCACAACTGCAGTGCTACCTCCTCTACCATCCTTCATTTGTTTACGCCGTTTTTCCTGATAGAGATTCCTGTTCACTATACCTATATTTTGGTAATCGATGTCTTCGACAATATTTTCATAATCTATATCGACGGTGGTATTGTATTCTATACAACATTTGGAATTTGTACTACTGTGGTTGTCATTTAGTGGACCGATAGTTTTAAAATATTTGCTGTTTTCGAGGTTATCTAAACAATCATTGTCTTTTAATCCACTAATATTTTCGTAATCGCAAACTAGGTGACATCCAATATTGGTTGGTTTGGCACAAGAGACAATTTCTGGAAGGATAGGTGATTTACTAGTCGATTCGATGGCTGGATGTTTCATTGTGGTTAGGTTAGATAGATGTTCACCATTCTGTGACTGTGATTGATGATTACATGGTACAATCAATTGTCTACCTAACTGTTGCTTTTGTTGTTTAATAATGTTGATTTCAGGTTTCTGATTTATCTTACGATTTATCATCAATGGAAAAAAATTATCGTCCGTGTCTATGTCCTGTAGTATGCCTAACCATTGCAAGATTATATCTTCATCCCTGATTTCAGTTGATGTGCCATCGAGGTTACTGGTGCATTTCTCCTCGAAAATTGGTATTGAATGCTGGACAGTCCCTGAGGTTGATATTTCTGATGTTCTTGATGGAACGATATCGTGAAGTGAGGATAATGGCCCCACATTGTTTGAAAAAGTAACCTTAGAGTTTATTTCCTGAAATTCCCCCAAAAGCTGTTGATGTAACTCTTCGAATTCGATGTTCAATATTTTTAATTGTTCATTATGCAATCTGTGGTCTTGAAGACGTTTTTCTTGTTTACTTACGACCCTCTGCCGTAACAAGAGAGCCCAAAGGCTTCGCCATTCATCAAAATCATCATATTGTATTGGTGTTAGTAGTTTATTTTCTGCACGGGGCTCACTCACTGGATCTATTTGTTCTCTATGTGTTAAAAGTTTTGTCTTAAGATCGGCCATATTTTTTTCCGTATTTTGCTGGTTCAGGTCAATACACATTAATGGCTCTTCAGTATCCATAACGAGTCTTTTGCCTTCTTCTGAATTTTTAGCAGTCACCATAGACAATGATGTCAAAGAAGAATCTGTCAATGAATTTTTCTGTGGCTGCAGATCTTGCCTATCGTTATGATCATTATTTTCGTTGCCCGATTCACTCTCTTTATTCCCACTGTAATCTACAGAAACAATGAAGCTATCATAACAACTATGACATTTTGTCGATTTCAGATACTCCATTACCTTATGCTGTTGTATATGTTTCGGCACATTCACACCTAGCATGGACAACGGATGACCTGGCAGTGAAGATTCTTGTTGTTGAAACTGTGGCCGTTGTCCATATTCACGGACTTTAATATTATCATTATTATTAGGCTTTTCTCTATTTCCACTATAACGTACAATACAATGATTCTCATGTTTATTCCGATTACATTCAGGTTTACAATGGTAACTCCTAGATCTACTCTGGTCACTACAAGACCTAATTTTAAAACGTTTGTTCCTACTCTGATACCTATTGTTCAGGTTTGCCCTGGCGAATGAAGACTGGATGATTGGCCAGTTGGGCAAATGAAAAACACCATTATGATAACTGGAATCAGTATTTCCTACAGGCAATGTAGTAGCTTTTTCTGCATCTACATCAATAACATTCAATACACCACAAACCTCCTCATTTATTTCTGGAATACTACTATTTGATTCAAACAATGTCCCCGGAGATTCAGTAGTTTCCAAAGATGTGCCTGAAATTTTCAAATTTTTCAAAGTGGAAGATTCCTGTGAAACTGGTTCTGGAAGAATAGTGTGCTTATTAGTGAATGGGATAGTCACCAAAGGACATAGATCATGGTTAGGCAAACTTGATGATAACGATCTAAAATTTGAAGTGTGAGGGGTTATAAATGGTATCATTGTAGAGTTTGTAGTCACAATTGATGAGCATGACGATACTGATAATCCTAAAGTCGATGCTTGAGAATAAGCTCTCAACAGGCTCGGAGATGAAGTTGATGAACTTTGCAAACTTATATTTAATGGTAGTCCTGAAGTCACCGATTCTGCTGCTGAAGAAGGCCTGAAAAACGTTGATGGCGTTGCAGTTGCCGTAGGAGTTCTTCGAAGCGATGATCGAAACGACAATGATGACATGTGTTTCCGTGGAGAAATGTGCAACAATGGTGGCGATGGCGATTGGTGATACAAAAGTTTAAGTGACGAGGTTGTCTCAGCCACACCGGGTGCGATAGGTACAGATAGTGGAAGCTGTTGTAGCTCGGTCAACGCTAAAGCTTTATCTGGTACATGAGAGTGTTCATTTGGTTTCGAAATGAATGATGGAGTAGTGGTCTCATCTAATGTGTGAAACGTTATCAGGGGGTAGCGCCGATTACATGGATACCGGATACGTACCTCTGTATGTAATGGCTGGGGAAACATGGTATTACTACTACTACTACTACTAGTCGTTCCTTCATGACCTCCACCGTAAGAGAGAACAGCATTATCATCAGAACCACCGACATAATATCGAATAAGATCGGGTACACTATCGAATCCCGGCTGATATTTTCGCTGTCCATTAAGTTCTCCATTATTACTACTTATCATTGTAGAAGCAGCAGACGTCATCAGAGCTACCGTTGGCAATGCATCTCCAAAAGTGAATTGTGATCGTTCGTAAACTGTCCCGGGTTGCAAAATAATCTATAAAAAAATAATCAGATTAAAAAAAAAACGTAACCTACAAGTTCATAATAAATTTTTAAAATATAATAAATACATTCGGTAAAATACTATAATATACATTAAATTTCTACTGTGTATTTAACGATACATAATTATAATGGAATATATCTTGCACAATGGCACATATATTTTAAAAATCCTACTATGATAATATTACCCCAACGCCTTATAACAAAAATATTTGCTATTTGCCTATATCTCAGATCTTAAGATAATGATCATAAAATATACTTTCCCCTATTGAGAAATTTTAAGTTTTTCAGGAAAATTATAATAAATTTCATTCCCGGAAAAGTGTTCATCCTTAGGTATGAAAAACCCCTTATATACCTGTGTGACACATGCTACTGATAAAAATAAATAATAATAAAATTAAAATAACAAAAAAAAAATCATTAATTTATTCCAATTTCAAGTTTGGGTTGGAAAAGAGTAGTGGAGTATCATTTCTTTGGTGGTACGGGGCACAGCATGTTAATACACCACTACTAACTCTTCTCATACCCAAACCTAAAAGTAGAATATCTCGTCAATAGATTAACGGAAATCAAACATGTCACCATTAAAATTTATTTTAACTAATACTTCATCTAATTATGGACTATTTAATATAGAGTGCCATTTGAAAATCAAAAAAAGGTGTTGGTTTTACCCCCAAAAAAAAGGGTAACAAAAAATAACATAAACATAGAATTGTAGAGCTGTTTGTTTTATTTAATTTTCTAGAAAACTTTTAAAATCTCTAAAATCTTTTTTGATAGGAATGATTAATGCGTGATGATTGCAATGATTGCGTATAGATCTACATTTACAGAAAGAAAGTAGTAACGAATAAATCTAACCTCGTTAATTACGAAATGTAAAACGGGATGCCGTTGCTGCTTGCGTCGGCGCCGTCGTTGTTGATGGCGAAGGAATTGCATGCGTTGTTCGTTTTCCGTGTTCCTGACACTATTATTTTTATTATCTTCATTGTCGTACTTGTCAACCCGTAAACACGACACGACATACCGTCCAGGCGGCCGAACATTCAAACTGTCACGGACTAGGAAACAATAGAAGTATCGGCGGTTTTGACGTGGACGTCTGGCACTCGTGGGCGGCAACACGCTATCTAACCGACGGCGCTGTTGTAAGAGCAGCGAGTCATCCATGGTCGTAGAGGGAAAGGGCACCAGGTCTTTGACTAAACCATCCAGAAAGTCATCCGTAGTGAAATCACTATCGCTACTCACGCTATTGGCATCTTCTAGCCCGTCGGAGTCCGAGTCCTGTGCGTTGTCTTTTTCTGCTCCCAATGACGCAACCGAACCTCTACCAATGATATTACTACCTAAACTGGCAATAGAAAAACCATGCTCGACGGCAACACATTGACGCAATAATCTCTCTGCCTCAGCCCGGTCCACGCGGTGACCATGATACCAAGCGTGCGACCGCAGGTCGTCGGCTCCCAACGATGACAACTCCCATTCCAGTAGTTTTTTCTGTTCTAAATCATTATAACTGGACCCTACAACCACCTCCTGTTGTTGTTGCATATTCTGTTGTCTTTGGTGATTGCCATTGTTTGCCGGATGCGATTGTACATTGGATGTCATTGTCACCGGCGGTAAAACGGGCTACTGCGGACTTCGGCGCTAATATAAAAATTCGTCCTTGTCCTATTTTATTTTAAAATAAACAAGCATAATATTATTAGAAATAAATATAAAAGCTCAAATAGTGTACACATACAACTTAATTTAAACTTATCTATGTGTGTAAAAGAAAAATAAGTTCAATATACACTGAAAAATTATAGGTAAACAAGTATAATTCTTAATAATACTTGAACTTCAACCAATTAACGAAATATTATTTCTGTTGATAAATTTGTGCTAACTAGTTAGTTAATAAACCTAGAAAGAATTTAAAACAGAATAAGAACTCCCATATTTTCATTTTTCTAACACACACATTGCGTAGAAATCAGATTAATTTATTGTTTATCAGGCCAATCGTAATGTTTTTTTTGACCACAAAGTAAGACAAATAATAAACTTCCTGTTCAATTATCAAGCATTTCTGTATAAACTAACAATCCACCTACCTAATACAAATTACGAACAAAACTCACAAAATTAAATATCTATAAATAGTTGAAATTGTTTTAAAATTGTATCACCTCTAGAAAACCAAATTTAAGTATTCTGTCCAAATTTAAAATGTCTACAAGTATTTTTAACTGAATTTCAACAAAAACAAAATTGAAAATAATAAAATTTCATGAATTTTACTGTTTTTCTCAATTATTTTGAAAATCACTTGGAAAATCAAAACCAGTACCAGCAAGATAAAATTTCCTTTCAGAAAAAATCCTATACTCGAAAAGCAACATTTCTGGTAGAAAAGTTCTTAAGATATAAAAAAAAAAAATAAAAAAGTCAGGCCTCCGTTTCTGAAAACGGTTCATGGCACTTTTTGAACTATTACTATTAACCTGTAAAAACAGTGATGTGGCAACTACAACAATATCTAGCAGTTCTTGAGTAAAGCTCCTTTTGAGCTGTTCATTTTTATTTATATAGATAACAATAAGGATTAACTTGTGTTATATATTTTTATGTTGAGTTGAGTATTCTTTAACTATTAAATTATAATTTAATTAAAATTGATTATACATTGATACTTATACATTTTTATGTTGCAAGGCAAAATTAAATAATAGTTTTAAGTCCAGGAATATACAGATCCCTTTATAGACATCTATTTCAACCACCATTTACATGACTAGATTTTGATTTTTCATTAATGTTCTTTTGAATAAAATTAGAAATAAGACACTAAACAATTTTAGGACTAGATACACCTTTGACATTTGTATTTTAAATAATATAAACAGTTTATTTAAATTACTTAATGTAATAAATGTATATTATTATAATTAGCTTGTAAGTATTATGTCCAATCAGCAATAATTATATTTTATTTACTTTGGTATTTTTTTTTTTTTTTTTGTTATAAATTTACTTAATGTTAACATTTTCTTGTAAATTATAATTTTTATTAGATTTAATTTATTTATACTAACCAAAACCTTTCCTCTATTATACATAAATGTATGTAATGTATTATATTAATTCCAAAGACACAAACACTATATTAGGTAGGTACAGTAAAATAAGATCCATTACACAGCATTGATTATAAAATCATTGAATTTAAATTTAAAATAATACTTTATATAGTTAGTAAAACATAAATACAAACTGTTCTGGAACAGTCAGCATTTGACCTGTATAGCATTGTTTACTGTGTTTTTTCAGCAGTTGCCTTCTGTAAATGTAACTAGTAACTTATATTCAGATATTATTATGCATTGAAATTTAGCATTTTATAATATTTTAACAATTTGTGCAATGATGCTGTTAATAAATTAAGTATGTAAGTTGTAGATACAAAAATATACACTAAATCTAAACAAAAAAAAATATAATATTATCTTTCTTCAAACTTTGATGACCAAAGTTGAAATTTACAACAATAATTTAAAAAGCTCTATGATGAGAAGAAATTTCAATTCATTATATAGATAGTGTAATGATATATTGTTATATTGATAAAGGATAATAATAATAGTATAATACTTATGTACTTATATATTATTATTAATTTGTAACTGTTGGTGTAATTATTGTGTTTTGAACATATTAAATAATGTATAGCATTAATATATATATTAAGATTAAATTGACAACTCAACTATGATTAGTAAAAAGGTTTGATACAAATAAAAATAAATGTACTTAACACAGATACAAATAGCAATTAAATTATAATCCATAAATATGAAGAAAATAAGACAGGATAAATATTTATGACAAAATTTATACAAGTACTATCTATAAATGAGGGTCTGAAAAAAATGAAACACCAAAAAGGGTTTAATGAGTATCAATAGATAGGAACCAAAACAAATATTAATAAAACTAATTATAATAAGTAACTTAAACCATATAATAAGTATGAGCGTATATGAGATATACCATGATAAATTTGAGCAATTAGTATAATAAATAATTAATAAAATAACATACTATAAAACAAGTTAAAAAAGGTTGAAAAGACTATTATGATCATATTCTTGGGAAAAGGTTTGAGTAATTGATTCAAGTCCTGCATTAAAAGTATGTGGTATAAGCACATCCAAATAAAACAGTTTAATGAATATCAAATAATATAAAAATCAATATTGTTATGTATAAAAGAGTGCATATAACAAGATATGATAAACTTGATAAGTAGATAAAATGATTATAATAATATAGTTTTGTAGGTGCTTGTTGACGTCTTCAACACTATTTTAATTTATAAATGACCACTACATAATTTTCTCCAACAATACCTTGCAACAATCAATTTCAAAATACACAACATAATATTATATTATGTATTATGCATTTAATACTGATAATATTATAGTTAGATAATTCTGGTCGAAATAATATTACTATGGCTGTTCTTATCAACATAAATGTTAATTTTTAAACAGAGTTTATAAGACAGCTTTACTAACCGATTGTAGTCAGTTATCAGTCAAAAACTAGTGAAACAAAAAAATCAGAAGAGCCCTTAAAGTAATGATTGAATAATAATATCATAACGTAGAAAAAAACAAAAATAAAATATAATGACAAATGAGAAAAATAATGATTACAATGATTTATTATGATTTTTGTTTTTTAAAGTATGTATGTGTGAGAAATGATCCTTACAGCATATTTATGTAGTATCAGAATAAAATAAATAGGTACATTGTTAAACATAGAATAAATAACATGGTGTACAACATTAGCATTTGAAAGATATCTTATCTTATCTTATCTGGTGATAAGAGACAAGTCATTCTTGGTATGCATTATTCCTGTGTATTGTATACATTTTAGTGATAAATAATACAATTTATATGTACTCAGGTAAATGTAGTGTAATTAGTTGTATAGCATTGCAAATAATATAATATGTAAGTTAATTTTTAGGTTCGTCAAATAATTTATACTTAAGAAACTAAATATTCCTTTTATATTTCAGATACAACAATATTACCACGACCACTTTTGTGACACATCAAATAATTTTAATAATTATTGTATAATAATCTATTGTCATAGACTTCAACAGATGGTTCACAAATGTGCAAACCATTTACATTTTATACTGTCCGTTTAGCTCAGTTATCTATATTGAAGACCAATCATGGTTGGTGAAGACCTCATAATCCAATTAGATCTTGGCATGGATAAGACAAGACAATGCTACTACACTATAGAAAATAATATTGCATACGAATGTTATGCAGCAATAACAATTTTAAAATAAATCAATAAAATAGTCTAGAACAAATACACTTAATACAGTATGCTCTCGCTTACTGTATCTGCATTTAGTTACTCCCCGCAATAATGTACTGCAGTGGTCTTCAGTCGGTGGGTCGCGTTAGCTTTAAAATTGGGTCGCGATAAGTCTTTTTTTTTTAATAAAAATTAAATTTATAAAATTATGCAAGGTAAAAAAATAATTAAAAAATTAATAAATGAAAATACAGTTTAGAAAATTTAGTAGTGTATGTATCAACAATATTATATAATTTAGTTTATAATATAACATTATAATGGATATCAAATCACAGTATATTTACACTGGTATGATTCTACATAGTAAGATATTGATTCAATATTATTGAATATAATAATTTACTAATAATAATAATAATAATTTTTTATACAACAATTTATTATAAATAATAATTAATGTTAGAATAATCTATTAATATTATTGATGTTGTTGCTGTGTTTAAAGACGATAAATGTTAGCCGTGTTATTATTTTAGACATATTTACGTATCCGTTAAAAAGCTTTTTTTGTTATTTAATAAAGTAAATTATTTAATAAAATAGATAAATTTGTTCTTAGGAAAAGTGGTCAAATTAATACACATGAAGACATGACAACGTTATTATTGGTACTTTTAACTTCAAACGCGGAGGAAAACTCCCGCAAAAGAAAGAAATCAGAATTTAATGGTTTAATAAGGTACGATGAAAATAATTTAAAATTTGGATTTTGTGCTTTTAATATGGGAGATCATAACAATTTGATTCAACCACAATGTGTAGTCTGCAGAGAATTGCTCGCAAATGAAAGTTTAAAACAGTCAAAATTAAAAAGACAAATCGATAGAGTATTTTGAATCATTAAATACTAACTAAAATAAAAATCAAAAAATCATAAAATAATATTCATCAGTTTCACAGTCGGCTTTAAAAGCATCGTTTTAGTCTCGTATAGAATTGCAAAATGTTTGAAACCATATACCGGAAGAACTAATATTACCGGCTGCTATTGAAATGTGTACATAATTGATAAATGAAAAATTTGCAAACCAATTATAAAATATTCTTCTCTCTGATACTACAGTCGCTAGAAATATATTACTTATTAGTAATAATTTAAAATTGCAAAATGGGTCGCGAGTCCAAAAAGGTTGAAGACCACTGGGGTACTCAACACTGTACATCATCAAATACTTGTTATTTTACATATAATACAATATTCGAATATGTCACTCAAGTTAACCTAACCCAATATTTACCTTGAACCCCCAAACAAATGAGGTAAGCTATTAATTCTCATTGTCCATATATTTCCTATAAAACCTTTGTAGCCCTGAGTCTTTTTTTTTTTTTGGTCAACCCACAGTCCCTGAACCCCACCCAATAGTTCTAAACTACTTATTTCATCACGGTGCCTATACCATACCAATCTATTTTCCTTTGCCATACTATAAGTACACACGTATATAGGTAATATAGGTAACTAAAAATAAGTAATGCAGTAGAAATAACTGCATCAAAAAAAAAAATCTACACACTCACCGTATTCTGAGTAAGGTTTGTCAGTGGCGTCTTACTCGCTGAACTCCACTTCCTGAGACGACTGGTCGATAATTTCCATCACAGTCTCATCGTTCTTGTCAAGCTTTGGGCCGCAGATCTTAGTTAATTTCACAATGAACGCGGTGAACACGAAGATCAACACAATAATCGGGGCAATTAGCGTGCACAAAAACAAAGGACTGGTCAACTGTGCCATATCGAAGGCCGCCACGAGGGCGGAAACAAACGTGTCCGGCGCCGTAATCGCTGCTAACAACCAAACTAAATTAACGGATATCGTTACAAAATTGTTATACCTACTTATTGTCGACCGCTAAAGCGATGCCGCGATCTGGGTGCTGCACTCAGTTCCGCAAAAGATAGCAACGACACTGGTAACGACGATTAAAGCAACAACCGTGATGCAGTTGATGGAAACGTTGGTGATGTTCCGGCTCGATGTGATGCGCGTGTCCGTGGTGGTGCACGAGACCGTGGTGACAAAGACTGTGAATGTGATTACGGCACAAGGTCGAGTATCGTGACCGTGGTAGGAACGCTGATCGTCGTCGACGTTTACTTGATTATAATCGACTCAATCGATCAAAGCCCAATTGATCGGAGCTGCATTTCTCACCAACAAAAACAACAATAGCAACGAATATAAAATAATACAATCGCTCTTCTCAATCATGAAAGACCGGGTGCCGGGATTAAAAATGATGCGATTAAACGACGCCGTTTCTGTTGTGTGTGTGTGTGTGTGTGTGTGTGTATGCGTGTATGTGTGTGTGTGTGTGTGTGTATGCGATCAATTTACGGTAGAAACGGCCTGCAGTATGAAGTGCAGGACGTCGTGTTGCCGTACGATTACGATTATCGTGATAACGACGGTTGTTCGACGGGTTTAGAGGATCAGCGGTTACGTTGTCCACAAAATAAAATATCACCAAATAATTATCAGACAAAACAATATTATACTATTAGGTATTAGCGTTGATTTGACAATGCCAATAAAATCAATGGCACTATAGTGATTAAAAATATTATGTTATAATAAAGTATTATGGCGTTTCGACTTACGACGGTACGTCGACTATTGTGTCTACGGGCACCACGAGCGTCGAGCAAATAGTATTTACAACGTGATAACACCGATACGACCGCGACCCGTCGATTGTACCGGACGTGCAACCAAATGATTTTGGTGCCTGGACACCATAGACGCCCGAGGGGTGCACGGGCGCTGCCATCGACTGTTGTGTCCGTGTGTACGCAGCCGCCGACATTTTTCCCGGGCCCGGGCTCGTCGGATCGATAAGTCGGATCGATAACCGATCCGGCCCTCCTGCAAGAACGCATGCGCGGGGTGCATGCGCGGGGTGGTAAATTATTTATGGTAAATTATTTATTTCGCAGAGGGGGACTATGCATTATACTATCCGGGCTATACTATCCGGGCAAATTGGTAACCCGGACGAAAAATATTGCGGGACACAACTACTTATTTGGATTTTATCACGCAGCCGCCGACATTTTTCCCGGGCCCGGGCTCGTCGGATCGATAACCGATCCGGCCCTCCTGCAAGAACGCATGCGCGGGGTGGTAAATTATTTATTTCGCAGAGGGGGACTGTGCATTATACTATCCGGGCAAATTGGTAACCCGGACGAAAAATATTGCGGGACACAACTACTTATTTGGATTTTATCACGCATCAATATTATTTTCGTTGTAATGTCACAATTTTAAACAAAATCACTGCATCCATAATTATGAAAAAAAAACAAAACAGCTATATACTACATATTTATTATAGCCGATAGGCACAAGTAAAGTTGGCTGCACACCTGCACGGTTCATGAGTATGAACCTACGAAATACCTACATAATACAATTTTATTTAAATATTTTTGCCTGTAGAAAATATAATAGCAAAAATGAGCAAAAATTAAAAAGACGTCCAAGGATAATGGAGACGGGTGCAGCCACTGTCCCAAGTTTTCCTAGCAAATGTAAAAAACCTTGGAAAATCGGGAAAATAGGTACAACATTAAACGAATTGTATTAAAGAAAATATATAAAGCCTATTTAATTATTTTTTTTTTACTACAAAATGACATAAATATTGTTGACAAAGCATCACTATTAACTGAACTCCGTTCAGAATCGTTTTTTCGTAAGCAATGGTTTATCGTTGCTTACAGATATACATTAAATCCCTGTCTATATCCTAACTACCCGGACTTTTGTGAACTCTTATAAAATCCTCTATCACAAGCCTTAGCTTATCAGAGGGTTGCAAATATTTATAATCTCTTTATATCATCTTATTATATCCTTCATTTTCTGTTATATATTGTAAGATATGTTCTACATACAAAAAAATTATTTGCTAATAATAAACAACAAAACAGTATAAAACGGCACGAACGGAGAAAATTCGGTAAGGCGGTCACTCAACACGAACAAAAGTACGAATCGGGCCGGCGGCGACGACGAAAATTGCGGCTTGACGCTTTCAGTTCGATCGTTATACGACTCGAAAACCATATACGGGCGACGTTGTCACTAGGGCCGCAAAGGCGCGAGGCGACGACGGCACGAATATTGAACGTCGCACAATATTCACATAATATTGCGAAATCGGTCAATATTTTAATTTTGTCCGAACAGTCGGCGAATTTCTTACCAAATTTATTTAGTAATTCTCCTTGCTCATTTACTGAGTTGATTAATTTAGATTGCGTAATTTTAAATTCATCGAGTGTTCTATCCATTTCAATAAGTTGAATATCCAAACGATAAAAAAAATAATAGGCAATTATTAAAAATGAAAACCAATGTGTGTATAATATTTATTATTATTTTTAGAAAATATGATAAGCAAACGGACGGTAATACACGACTTGGACGTTGGGCAAAGCTGATGTAACAGTTTCAGCCATGTTTGAAACTCCTCCACTTTCCAACCTACAAAAGTGGCTGCACCCACGTGTTCCATGTCGATCTATTAATCTCAATTATTCGTCATTATTATCCTAGGTTGAACTAATCCTACACAATACGAATACACGAACTTGGATTTATTGACAATCGGATTCAATTTAATATGACCACTGACAACAAATATACCAGGGTTTTCGAGTTCTTCACATTTTTTCAACTTATAATAGTCCAAAGAAACTTTAGTAGTAACTTAGAGTAATACACATTTTGTTTGGTAATTAAAGAGTTTTACAAACTGATTTAGATATAAAATCAAATTATAAATAAAATAATAATTGTTTTTAAATACTTTATAATCCGGATTTATATCATAATCAGTATTGAAAGTAACAGTCCTGATTAAAACGATTGTAATGTTTATTTCAATCCGGATCAATTCGAATTTGGTGATCAGCACTAATACGTAGCTGTTGTCATCCCAAAAACTGCAAGTTCAAACCCAAGTTCTGAAAACATTCTTTTTTGCAAAACCACGTTGAGCAAGTAACACAGAAAAATCAATTTTTCGTTAACAATGGTTAATCGTTAAGGTAAACATTAACAACCGCCTTAACAGCTACCCGCCTACAACAGTAGCCGCAACCATCCCCAGTAATAGCTCTTTTTCTTTTTCTTTTTTTGCGGCATTGGGTAGGTGGGTATATTTTAAAAGTATCTGAATGTACTCTCAAAAATTCCTCTGTGTGCTACTGATCTATTATTATGTATACGATTACCGACGTGGGTAAACGAAAAATTGTTCTAAAGTTTTTTACGCTGCCATAATTGAAATAATAATTTAATACTTCGATATTGTAGATAGGTACCACCCATCTATTTGTTCGGTTAATTTAAAAAAAAAAAAAAACACAAACCCACACACAAACTAGCGCACGCACGCTCGAGGACGCGTCCTGCAAAACATAACCGTATTTCCCCTCCACGCCGACGACGCGCATTCCTATTGTGTTATTATATACTTTGTATTGTACATTTTCGAACAAACTGTGCGTCCTTGCCGCCGGATTCAAATCGAAAAAACCGTTGACGTCGTTTCTTCCATAGCTCCGTATACCTATTACAATAGTATGAGTATTTTTTTTTTATCTTATCAAAATTCAAAATCGATTTGGCGGCGGCCGCGGTTTAGTGGCGGCGAGTGGAATAACGAAAAAATACCCGTCGCCACACAATAGTGTTAACTAAACGAACAATTATTTTTTCTTTTGAATATTACTTTGTACCCATTAACCGTATTCGATACCTACTACAGTGTCTACCAAAACTTAATAATATGAATTCACAAAAGGTCCAGTAAAGATAAATAAACAAATTTTAAAAACGGTCGTTCTTCGCACGATGGGTGGGCCACTGTTGCAGGTGAGAAGTTGATATGGTAGAGGGGAAATTTAATGTATATTCATCATTGCTAATAAAAAACAATTCTAAGCAGAATTTGGTTGTACCTACATGTTTTGAAAGGCCGTAATATTTACGATTTAAGGATATTACATTTCGTAAATTTTTCCGGTTTTTCTTATTTAAAATAAAAACGTATAAAAAATTAATAAAATCTATTATAAATGTATTATTAAAAAAGCATATTATCGAAATCTACAGTCCATAATCGAATGTAACAAAATTTACTACTATAATTGTAGCCTAGGAACAAAAATGGTATTAAAATATAGTGTAGGTTCCTATTATATGGTACTGTATGACATGTAGTACTAATCAATAATTACTTTTTATATTAAAATATGTAAAATAAATATATTTTTTTTTTTTTCTTAACGTCGGCCCCCATAGATTTAGGACCCTAATATAACCGCAATCCCTCATTCGCATCACTGACGAGAAGTCATAACTCATAAGTTTAGTAATAATATTATAACAATAATAATGTGGATTTTTAGTATTTTACAAAACGTCTCTATGAACAGGCACAACTACAGCAGTGCACCGAGTTTGTACGCGCCAGGCGGTACCGGCTATGGACGATGCGTGCAGCTGTCGTTGCTTTGTTTGCGGTGCGGCGTGGTTCGGGGTGACGCGGCCATGCGATGCTGTTGGGGCGACATGGCCGTGCGACGCTGTTGGGGTGAAATGGCCGTGCGGTGTGGCGCGGCGGAGTTCGGATGACGTGGCCGTGCGACGTGGTTGGGGGTGACGCGAGGAAGGGGACGCGGCCGTGCGACGTGGTGGGGTCGATGCGGCCGTGTGGCGTGGTGGGGTTGACGCGGCAGTGCGGCGCGGTGGGGTTGACGTGGCCGTGCGGCGCAGTATAGGGTGACGCTGCATAGTACAAGTAAAACTGTCGGTTGGACTAGTGTCGGGCGGTGCTATGCGTCTAACCGAATGTCCGTTTCAAAACTACGCTGAGCGACTCCTCGCGTTACCTCAGCAACTCGTTAAATAGTGTATTTCGTGAATTTGTTGATTGTTGCGGTACCACAGTGGCACGGTCGACCGCTCTGTGTTTTCGCGTACATAGATTTCGTTATATTTTGTTTTCCCACGAATGTCATACCTTATTGTCTAAATTATCGCGCGCGCCACGCTCTCTAGCGTCATGACCGTACGAGTGTAATAGTATTATATTTGTTGTCTTTGTTGTCACTTGCCGCACGCTGCACAGTGTGAGCCTTGAAGAGCTACGCCTGGAGCGCACAGACATACACCATGAGCAATAGAATATCAGAATTCGCACAGGTAATTATCATCACATCAATGTTATCTCTTGTCGCACAAACTCCGTTAACTTACTTTTACCTTTTAGTAGGTAATATTATCGTTTGTGTACCTAAAATTGTTAACTGTATAAAAAATTTTTTTTAATCATTCAGAAATTTCTGTATGTTGATAATCGTGATGTAAAACCATGTTGTTTCGGTATCTGTTTTACACAATGTTCATCAGTGATTGAACCGTTGTAATTAAATGAAACAATAGAAGTGAATACCTCTGCCTACGATCCAAACCGTTTAATTTAACGATAGGTATAAGATAGATATAGTATAAGTATAGTATAGTACCTACCTCAACAGCGTAAGACACTACAGTGAAATAAAACAATACAAATTCTTGGTGTATACTAATAATAGAGTAGGTAAATATTGAAAATATATTTAGGTATTATAAACATGTTGCCTATTTTGTATGATATGATCCCAATTAAAGATTGTAATATTAAATAGGTAATAAAGTATTATGCGCTAAAATTGAATTTGTTTACACCATATTTAAGAGAGAATATATTTACTATTATGAACACTGTACTTAAATCTATCGGATTACCATTTAAAGCCAAAAAATGAATTTGATTTCTCTATACGAATTGTCGAATCTACGAATCTAATTGTATTTATAGGGGTACTTATTAACTCTGTATACATTTTGGTTTTAATTATTAGGATAAAATTGCTTTTTTCATAGTCAAATAGGTTCATAGGTATACAAATGTTGTATTGCAGTCTCAGCTCTTTTAGATGACAAAGTAGGTACCTATTAAATATCTGTTTTCACTCTAGTTTTCACAGTTTCAGCTGTACTAAAAGAAAAAAAATATTTCGCACAATTTTACCATTTTTTTATTTTTTTTATATTTTCATTATTTACTTATACAATTTTATATTAAGATTAAATAATAATTTAAAAAAAAAAAATTTATCTTTAGATTTTCAATTATAAATATATTTACAGATGTAAAATATCTCTGTAAAAACATAGAAAATGTTTTCGTCTTAGTGAAATACCTCATTTTTGTTATGTCTATTAGCGCCAGAGGACTGCTAGATATTTGAAAATACATTTGTTAAATTGCCCGTTTTAAAGGTCAGTTTTACTGTGACGTCATCTTAATAAAAACTTGTTTCCTAAAAGTGCATTTGTAAAATGTATGTTAATTGTGTGAATGCGATAATAGATTATTGGTGCAAAAAAAAATATAGGTTTTTAATTTTTATTAATGTATACCGTAGTGTTAAAAGTACTTTGTAGAAATTCAGTAAAAATGTATGCCATAAAAAGAAAATAGAAATCCTTAAAATAAAAATACATTTTTAAAGATTAAAAATATAATAATAATAATAAGTTGTTTAACTCTATAATGTATTAAATAGTTATCTTAATACATTGTGACTCATACATATAATTTGAACACCATTACTTTTACTCATCTTATTTATAGAGGGATTTGCTCACACAACATGACTTGTTGCTTTCCAAATGTAATATGTTTCCTAATGAGAATGATAAAGTATCTATTTATTGATAAATCTATTTTTAATGGGTCATTAAAAGGTACTATGAATTCGAGGAAAGTGGTTCTCAACTTAAAAACCATGCGAAAGAAATTCTCAAATACGAGCAATGATGGGTTAATGTAGGTATATTCAAAAAAATGGAATGAATATTTAAACTTTAAAAATTATAAAATCATTTTTTCTCTTTCATATAGCTTATAGATATTTATTATATTATATGTATATGGATTTATTTTAATTTTTTTTTAAATTTTTATTTCCAGTTTATGTTAGAAAATGAATTCAAGTATAAAGAACTGCCAACCCAGACTATAACAACTAGAATATTAGAACCATTAGAGATATCAGCATCAAATGAGTCAAGAACACTATCGGAGATATCAGAACTATCATCGCCTTCAGAGTTATCAGATCTATCAACAGCATCACAGTTATCACCAGAACCAGAGTCATCAGAGTTATTTTATTCACCAACACCAAGAGAACCCACAGTATCACTTATGTCCTCAGAACTAACACAGTCATCAGTAACAGATTCTTCAGTACCATCATTGGTAACAGAGTCTTCAGTACTATCATTGGTAACACAGTCTTCAGTACCACCATCAGTACTTGAGTCTTTAGTACCATCAATGCCCTCAACACTAACAGAACCCTTATTAAAGTCATTGTCTCAAGTATCATCATTCAAGCGTCATGTCAATACTGTGGAACCATCAATTCCTGGTTGTCATCTAAGACTGAGTCTTAATGAATTGGCTAATCCAGTGAGTATATAGCTATCAGAGTAAAAAATCAATTTACACAAAATCCAAAAAAGTTAAAAACAACTCCTTACATAACATACAATTAGAAGTAATAAATAATAATCCCCATAACAATAAAACAATTAAATAAAAACAATTTACTCATTTTCTCTGCAACAACTGAAAACAATGAATATGTTTTTTGTTATAAATATATATATTATAGTTATTATTACAGCATTTGCATGTTTTTGCTATTTAGTATGAAACATTTTAACTATGTGAAATAATTAAATTTCTCATTATGCCACAATATCAAATTTAAAATTGGAATGTGTATACTTTTGCATATTTTATAGATTTAACAGTAAGTGCCTATTTTTTCATTTTTATGTTGTTTTTTTTTTTTTTTGTTGATATTTTGATAAATATTAATCTAAAGCTACAAATTTGACCATTTAGTGAAATAAATAAAAAAGGTATATTAATATAATAGTATGTTTTTGTTATCTACAACTCTCAGCTGACTATAATCTTTTTGTAAGTATAAATAACTTTACTTTTAGAAAACACATGGGTGTATATATTTATAATTTTATAAAATGAACCTAGTTGAATACATAATAATAATAATAATAACAATAACTTAATAATTAATAAATATTTTAAATACATGTATAATTTTTTTATGCTTATGAAATTGGTTATTAGTGTCTATTTTAGCATATATTATCATGTTTTAAAATGCTATAAGTCCCTAACATTGATTATATCCATGTTGATTTAATTATTATGAATTTTATGTATCGCAAATTAAATGGTAATACAATGAAACATTTATTTAATATAATATTTTTGGGAATCAAGACATTCATGCACCATTAAAGAATAAATTATTTGACTAAAAAAAAAAAAAAACCTATTTTTGTACAGTGTAATCACTGTCATATATTAAATATTGGTTTAAAAATATCTGTTAATTTTACTGCAGTACTGCAGGTTCAATATTGACATGGGTGTTTATATAAAGTTTCAATTTTAATAATAAGCAAAAAAAAAAGGTAAAATGATAAATTATCATTTTAATCAAAATTAAGTTCTAGTTAAGATTAAAAGAATTAATAAAAATCAGTGTTATACATTATTATTAACAACTTTTAATTTTTATTCATAGTATACTAACAACGTGTATAATTTTTTTTAGACACCAGTAAAAACTAGTACCAGCACCAACGAAAAAGAAACTAGATTGACCACTATGTCTTCTTCTGGCCTAACTGAAATTAATGGAGAATGTGATTTAACAAAGGTAGTTAAGATAAAATCTTGAATCCATATTTGTATTTTGTGTTTTATCTATATTATAGTTATAAAATTAATACTTAATAGATAGGCAAATGAGGCTTGTGAATAAATTAATGAAACTGGTTAGGTGGTTTTAACTGCAATTTTAAAACACTATTAATTTTTCGGTTTTTAGGGTGGTAAGTTTGTAATAAAATTCATAAAATTTATCCTAGGATAATGGGAACAGTTGCAGCCACTGTTATAAGTAATTTAATACCCGAATGCAACAATAAATCATTGCTAATGAAAAAATAATTCTGAGTGGAGTTCAGTTGTTAGTGGAGCTTTGTCAACAACATATTTATATGTTATATTATTATTATGTATCAATTTCCTTTTTGTCTACATTGTTCCCTGTTTCCCATGTTTTTCCTGGTTGTTCACATTTGCTGAAAACTCCTGAGAAAATCGAAAAATGGCCTCCTTAGCGTACCTTCTTAGTCAGATTTTCTCACAGAAAATGTGCTATCATTGTAAAGAATAGAAAAATTGATAGTATAAAAGTTGTTCACAGGTAAAAAGGCCTTAATATTCTTACCCAATATCTACATTTCTTACCAGGTGATCCAATTAAGTAGATACACTCATTATCTTGGAAAGTATTAACTTTTTTAGAAATTTGTTTTGTAAAATATTTAAGAAACAAGTTACTCTTCAATTCTATATTTATGTTATTTTTTGTAGCCTTTTTTTTTTTTTAAGTAAAACCACTACTTTTGATTTTCAAATGGCAACCTATATCAAAAATATAATGTTATCAAAAATTTCAACATTGAAACATTACATTTGGGCATTATAGATTAAAAAAAAACATCCTACTAGGTACTTTTATAAACATGGAAACTTGCAATAGATTATCCATTGAATTATTTAAATGTTAATAAAATGTAATGTTAAGTACATAGTTTTATATTATTTTTTATTTATTATTACATATGCCACTATTATGGCACTTTGAGTTACAAAGTTGACTGGATTTACATTTACAGCGGTTGGTCTTACATGATGTATTGCAAGTACAACTCTTGTACTTTTGGCTACTCAAATTAGACAATTTTCTTGCCGCTTCTCTTAGAAAATTTGTACTGGTGGTACCTCATTCAGAATAGTTTGTGGTTAGGAATGATTAATTGTTGTGTACAGATAAACATTAAATTCCCCTCTATATCGTCTCACTTACAACAGTGGCCCACCCATCATGCAAAGTATATTTGTTTTTTTTGTATAATGTATATTAATAGTATATGTGAATTTCTGTTTGTTTAGACAAAGACCAGTACCAACAAGGAATCAACTAAATTGATAAATCAGCCTTCTTCTTACCAAACAACAATTAAAAAACATAATAAAACAAAGGTAGTAATGTTCAATAGTGAATTTATATGTGTGTGATGTAGTATACTAATATATTATGTTATTGGTACTATTAATTTCTAGGAATTTGGGAATGAATCAATTTCTGTACACCAATGTCAGTCACTACCAGTTCACAATTATGTTGGTGACTATGACAAACACCTTTATAAAACACAATATTATTCAAGTTCTGTTAAAAACAGCCCTTCATACTCAAATTCCAAGCATAGACCTATTTGTAGTACATCACTGTTTAATAGCAGGAAACTGTTACCACACATAAATTATTTATTGGAAAAACGAAGATTGTTTAAGAAATTGAACACATCAGATGAGGTGTGTGACGATGGAATATCAGCCTCCAGTAGTCTCCGCAATACTTCTATGGAATCTCCTGGAGGTGAGGTTATAGCTGTAAAATTCTCTTAGTTTAAATCATTTAAAAAATATGTTTACCAGCTAATATGATAAATACATTTTTTTTTTTTATAAAGCTATAATAGAATGTTAATTTTTATTTTTCAAAAATATTTTATCTCATTAGATAATGGAGATAATAGTCATTATTTTCTTATTTGTTATCATATAATGTATTATTTTGTAGATACCATTGTTAAGTCTGTTGAACGTGTAAAATGTATCTCATATTTGTCAACTAATGGTCACTGTCCTCAAATAGAGGTTGTCAACAACATTATAAATGAAACTATTCCAACAGAATCAGAAAATGGATTATCTACTTCCAAGGTAATAATATAGCCTCTGTTTCATCATCCACTTCATCAAATACAAATAGTTATAAACAATTTCTATACTCATAAATTTAAGAAATTACTTAGCCACCTTTTGATATCACAACTTTTTTAACTTGATTTTTTTTTTCTTAGTTAAGTTTTCAAATAAAGTTGACTGAAGGTTTTTGTTAGGATATCACTAATTTCTTTATTAACATTTTGGATATGATTGTTTTTTTTTTTTTTATTAAGTGAAAAATTCTTAGGACTTAATCTTTGTTGTTTTATGGATTGAGTATTTTAATATATAAATACCAATAATTTACCATTCATTCACAGTGAAAATAATTTGCTCTTTTCTTTAGAAAATACAATGATTTAAAACTTCTACAATATCTTCTTTATTTATCCAACATTTGTCTTTTGTATTAGGAAAAACAAACATTTTTCATGAGTTCAATTTTGTAAAAAAATTCAAGCCTATGTATCACAATTAGTTGTTACTCGATTCAGGGTTGAATAATTTCATCTAATCGAAAAACCTGGAATTATAAGGGAAGATATTCTTATATATTAGAGCTATATTTTACAAAAAATGCTTAAACCTCAGATTGTTGTTTTTCAATATAATGCCAATAAATTAAACATTTTTCGATAAACCAGGTTTTGATTCAAAATAATTGGAAAAACTCTACAGTTATTCAATAATTTTCCTTGAGTTTTAAATTTTGTATTGATATACCCCTTCTATTAAAAGCTCAATATTGTCAATATTATACCAAGTATGTCTGTTGTAGTATTTTGATGGTATCTATTGTCATTTTAGAGATGGTCAGTTAAAATCCAAATTCCAAAAAAATAAATTTATTTTTTTTTTCACTTTTAAAAAACACCGCTCTTATTCTAGATGTTACTTTCAATAATTGATTCAAAATAATTGGAAAAACTCTACAGTTATTCAATAATTTTCCTTGAGTTTTAAATTTTGTATTGATATACCCCTTCTATTAAAAGCTCAATATTGTCAATATTATACCAAGTATGTCTGTTGTAGTCTTTTGATGATATATATTGTCATTCTAGAGATTGTCAGTTCAAATCCAAGTTCCAAAAAGATAAATTTATTTTTTTTTTCACCTTTACACAACACTGATCCTATTCCAGATGTTACTTTCAATAATGGAAAAAAAATTAGAATTATGTTATCATTGATTTTATACATGTTTTTAATTTCAGGAAAGCTCAGATCCAGGGACATCATCATTGCCATCCCACCATGTGGAAATAGGTCCTCAATGTTCCAACACTCTTAGATTGTATCAACCATCCAATGATAAATCACATCATGGTATGAAAAATCACATTATATTAATTGAGTTTAACAATAAATATAGCCACTAAACTATAGATATTAAACATAATGATGTAACTTTCACATATTACATGTATGTATGTATGTTATAAAGAATGTGTGTGTGTGAGAATTGTGTAAGAAAGAAGCAGTGACATTAATGATGGCATTAACTGTGTTATGTACTAATTTGTCTCCAATGTAGTATTTAAATAGTTAATATCTGCACTAATATACATAAAGATATTTAGTACTTATTGATAATTTCCTTATTGATGTAGATTCAAAACCGCTGGCTTCTAATGACTTTGTGGATTGTGAAGAGTCCCGAATGGTCAAAAAGCTCAAAGAAACGCCTTCTACATCCAGTTCTATCCCACCACGATCTCCATTTACAATGCGTTATTATAATAAGCCGCAACAACTTGGATTAGCTAATAACAGGGTAGGTCATTATTAGCAAGCATGGTATTACTAGCATACAGATTATGCAAAATATAATATATTATTATCCTTGTAAACGTATTACAATTATTTTTTTAAGAGTCCCGAATGGTCAAAAAGCTCAAAGAAACGCCTTCTACATCCAGTTTTATCCCACCACCATCTCCATTTACAATGCGTTATTATGATAAGCGGCAACAACTTGGATTAGCTAATAACAGGGTAGGTCATTATTAGCAAGCATGGTATTACTAGCATACAGATTATGCAAAATATAATATATTATTATCCTTGTAAACATATTACAATTTTTTTTTTAAATTTTTAGAATCATGTCACCAACATAAAAGTTTGTGTGATTTTTTAATTTTTGTTTTAAACTTACTATCATTTCATCATGTTATAATAATGGAAAAAAAAATTCAAGTCTATGTATCCCAATTAGTTGTTACTCGATTCAGGGTTGTCTAATTTCATCTAATCGAAAAAGCTGGAAATATATTTATATATTAGAGCTATATTTTACAAAAAATGCTTAAACCTCAGATTGTTGTTTTTCAATATAATGCCAATAAATTAAACATTTTTCGATAAACCAGGTTTTGATTCAAAATAATTGGAAAAACTCTACAGTTATTCAATAATTTTCCTTGAGTTTTAAATTTTGTATTGATATACCCCTTCTATTAAAAGCTCAATATTGTCAATATTATACCAAGTATGTCTGTTGTAGTATTTTGATGGTATCTATTGTCATTTTAGAGATGGTCAGTTAAAATCCAAATTCCAAAAAAATAAATTTATTTTTTTTTTCACTTTTAAAAAACACCGCTCTTATTCTAGATGTTACTCACTCTTAGATTGTATCAACCATCCAATGATAAATCACATCATGGTATGAAAAATCACATTATATTAATTGAGTTTAACAATAAATATAGCCACTATACTATAGATAATAAACATAATGATGTAACTTTCACATATTACATGTATGTATGTATGTTATAAAGAATGTGTGTGTGTGAGAATTGTGTAAGAAAGAAGCAGTGACATTAATGATGGCATTAACTGTGTTATGTACTAATTTGTTTTCAATGTAGTATTTAAATAGTTAATATCTGCACTAATATACATAAAGATATTTAGTACTTATTGATAATTTCCTTATTGATGTAGATTCAAAACCGCTGGCTTCTAATGACTTTGTGGATTGTGAAGAGTCCCGAATGGTCAAAAAGCTCAAAGAAACGCCTTCTACATCCAGTTCTATCCCACCACGATCTCCATTTACAATGCGTTATTATGATAAGCCGCAACAACTTGGATCAGCTAATAACAGGGTAGGTCATTATTAGCAAGCATGGTATTACTAGCATACAGATTATGCAAAATATAATATATTATTATCCTTGTAAACATATTACAATTATTTTTTTAAATTTTTAGAATCATGTCACCAACATAAAAGTTTGTGTGATTTTTTAATTTTTGTTTTAAACTTACTATCATTTCATTATGTTATAATAATGGAAAAAAAAATTCAAGTCTATGTATCCCAATTAGTTGTTACTCGATTCAGGGTTGTCTAATTTCATCTAATCGAAAAAGCTGGACAATTATTTTTTTAAATTTTTAGAATCATGTCACCAACATAAAAGTTTGTGTGATTTTTTAATTTTTGTTTTAAACTTACTATCATTTCATCATGTTAATAATAATGGAAAAAAATTCAAGTCTATGTATCGCAATTAGTTGTTACTCAATTCAGGGTTGTCTTATCTCAGCTAATCAACAAACTGGGAAATATTAAGGAATTTTATGTTTCACTTTTTAAGTTTTGGAAATTCAGAAAAATTATTTAGTCAGTTAAAATATATATAATTTAATAATTTTGTCCTTTGTACTTTTGTTAATAGAGATTGCACTTATTGTGATTTATAACATTGACTATATATTTTTTATTTATTAATTTTACAAAAATTAGAATTAGCACTGTTATTAAGTAGTGATCAGTGATACCAGTTAAGAAAACACCATAATTTATTTTTTTTAAAGTTTTAATATTATTACTCTTAATGAATACATGAGTGCTTTTGACCCTTTGATAATCTCATAAAATCATTTTTTAAAGAAAAAAACTCTTTAATAATAATAAGTCTTAATCAATATTATTTGTATAAGAACTAATTATGTTTATTTTCATGACTCCAATTATAGTAATTTAATTAAAATCAAAATTTAAATTAATAAAGGGTTCTTTTAATAATTATTCCGACTTATATTATCCAATTATGGCAACCTAGGTATAGGTATACAGTGTGATTTTTTTTTTATTAAAAACCAGCAATTTTATCAGTGGATTTTAAATGTATTTTAAATTTTTACCTCTACTCCTTGTGTCTTAAATAAAGACATATTTTTTTTTTTTTTTAAATAGGAACCTCTTTTTATAGTATGGACTAAAGTAGTATGGTAGAGTGTAACCATGCAATTTATTACCCTTCCATACTACTTCTGTCTAAACTTTAAATGGTTATAACTCATAAATGGTAAATCTGATATTATTTTTATGTATATAAAAATTTCCAGAAAGATATTTTCTATTTAAGCAAATGTTCTAAAAGGGCGTTCTCATTTGAAAAACAAATGTGTGTGCTTATTTAAGGTATACGGAGTTGAGGTAAAACATGAAAAGTGATTTTAAATTAAATCTTAACAGAGTACATAAATAATAATGGTAATCAAATTCGAACCCTCGAAATTTGCTGGTTCTTGATAAAAATTAAACTGTATATACATAATAAAATTATTGGTATATTAATTTTTAATTAGATACTAAGTTATTTTCTAGATGATATTTTCCAATTGAAATGCAATTTAACAAAGACATATTATTCACTATTCCATCACTCAGGTTTCTCCTTTTAAGAGAAAAAATAGATTATAATCAGTTATCTCAAAGTTATACAAAGATGTGTCATGCCAAGTTTCAGTCAGAACTTATTATGATATCAATTTTACAATTAACATATTTTCTAAAAAATAATTATAGTTTATGGAAATGTGCATTTATACTTCTTATATTGAAACATGTAATATTCAAGTATTTTCATGTAAGATTATTTACATATATCATACCCTAAGAAAAACTCAAAATCATTATTATATATTTTGGATTTACAATATTAGATGCCATGAATTAGCCATATAGTTTGAGTTTATAATACAAATTAGGTAATATAAAAAAAAATTAAATTAAATAACAGTTAAAAAAGTTTCATTTTAAATTATTATTGTTTTGCAATTTTCTTTTTTTTAAATAAATAATTTCAAGTCTTAAAAACCTACAAATTTTTTAACTCGGAGCAAAAGCCTTAGTTAAACCGTGTTAAATATGTATTTGCATATATTGTACTGCTACCATTTTTCTAAGTTTATTCATAATTTTTGACTATATACAATATGTCTTGGTGGCAGTTAATGATTTCACACCTAATTTATCAATAATTTGCTTACTATTTTTTCACAGTTTTCATCCTTATTATTGAGCACACAATATTTTCAACATTTTTTCTATTCCATAACATTGATACCGTTCCCTTCATAACTTTATATTTTGTTTTTTCAACACTTGATTATCATCTCTTTTTTCTTTTAAAGGGAATATTACATCTTGGATTTGTATGCCAAAGTTGTCAAACTTATCACTCATTAAATTCACTGAATCAGTTAAACTCTTTAAATTGTCATTAATACATGTACTGAGATTTTTTGGTTTAAGAAATGTTGTTTGAATCCTGATATATTGTGTTTGTTTGAACTTTGCATTTGTAACAAAATCATTTTTGCTTCTTTCAAAAGTCAAAAGTTCTCTAGAAGTTTATGATTCTAAGTCTAATCTCTACAAAAGTAGATAATAGGTCAGTGTTTTAATCTCAATATAGGCATCAGTATTTATTTATAATACTGGGTTTCTATTTTTTCACTTACGAAAATGTTGTTCTTGAGCTTTGCATCAATGTTTAAAATTATTAAAATGATATAAATATAACTGAACAAATTAAAATTTACTACTTACACAAGCATAGATAACATCTAAAAAAAAAATTATATGTATTTATAATTCTTTATTATTACTCTATTTATACTTTTATTTGACAGATGAAAGCTGAGGAACAATATAGAAAAGAAGAATCCCTGAAAAAGAATCATATTGATAATGAGGAAAGGGTACAAAGGATTCCTGCTTTGAAGTTCACCTCAAAATATCTAATATCTTTGAGAAAATTAGTTAAACAGCAAAATCGCAAAATAAGCCAAATCACCAAATCACTGAATATAAGTGATATGTTTAGACAAATTATCTATCAGTCTACTAATCAGTGCTTTGAATATTCAAACGAGCATTTGTTTTCTGAGCATATGTTACTGATTGCATGTATGTACTATTGTATAATTGTTAATTCATTATTGTTAAGTTTATAATTGGATATAATTGTGTTTTAAAATGGATAAATGAAATAATTTTCAAGATAGTTATTGATACACCAGGCATTAAATTTGTTTAAGTGATTCTGTAGTATCCTGTGTAAATAATCATTAATAAAAACTAAAAGAAAACATAGGTCCTAAATGTGAACCTTGAGAAATACCTGACTTGAAATACATTAACATTGATCAGACTTAACATTAGAAACACTGAAAGAAAGTTTAACTACTTGAGAACTGTTATTTAGGTAGGAAGTGATCTATGTTAAAAATAAACCATTGAAACCATAAGCTTTAACTTCTATAGTAAAATACCATGGTTAATTTTATGGACAGCTTTTTGGAATTGTATATACATATTATATCAATTTGATAATTTTGATTATAGAAATGCAATAGATATATATATTAAATAAATATGTAAATAAAAAATGTATATAAAAAAATAAAACAAATAAATAATATTATTAGAATGTTATACAGTTATTATTTAAGAGGTTTAAATAATGTAGGGTAATATTATAGGCTAATTTAAGGAATGTCTGTACTTATTTCAGTTCTTCAAATCTATAAATAAGTGACTAAAAAAGCAATAAGAAATATTTTATTGTTTCATAATGCTCAATGTCCATGTTTTTTTTTACTACAAAGTAAGACTTTAAATAAACCTGTTCAATTATCAAGCATTTCTGTTTAGTCTAACAATCCACCTACCTAATACTAATTACGAACAGAACAAAACTCGCAAAAGTAAAATTGAGCACTGTTTCTGTACTTTTATTTATGCTTCAATAATATGTCTTCTATGTCTCATTTTATTAATATTAATCTCCTCATATACACCTAATGATTTCCTACATACCAGATACAACAAGAATTAGGTACAGCATTAATAACAGGTTTTTGCATAATTATTGGTAATCTTACACTTTTTAAAATTAATTCTACTTCATCATTTTATGTATGAGAAACAAATTTCTCTTGAAGTTTCTTTATGTGGATTCTTTGATACTGGGAATAGTCTGAGCTTAATCAAATTGTTGAATATTTACATAAAAGTTTCGCTTTATTTTTAATGATAAATGTCTGTTATAGAACTGAATGTAATTATTAAAGGCCTTGATTTTTTTGATTGATAATAAAATATATTTATTACATAATTTAGGGCTGACAGTATTCCCAGTATACTATTAATACCAGTATTTCAGTATTTGGAAATTTTTACATCGAAGAAACCCTAGGATAGAGTATACCGAAAAATCGTGTTTAATGCAAGGCTGAACATGTTAAATTAAAATAATAATCTATTACATTTCATTAAAAAAAAAGGGTTAGGTATTTGTACACCTAAAGGATGTTGTGTACTAAGTGTGCATTAATCATTATACATATAATACACAGTCCACCCTTCTGTATGCATTTTATTGATATACATTTATTGTCATAAAANATGAAAAATTAAAAGACATGGTATGAAAAATCACATTTTATAAATTGAGTTTAACAATAAATATAGCCGAGTTTAACAATAAATATAGCCACAATACTATAGATAATAAACATAATGATGTAACTTTCACATATTACATGTATGTATGTTTGTTATAAGGAATGTGTGTGTGTGAGAATTGTGTAAGAAAGAAGCAGTGACATTAATGAT